AGGGTTTAGGGGTTTAGGGTATCTTGCTGGAGCTCGGGCTCGAGTGACCAGATTCTGGAAAAGACGGACATTGTAACCTCAGGGCTTGCGGATATGATCCTTCACATCTGAAATGGAATGCTGGAGCAGCTGAGCCCATGACAGGACAGCCGGGAGAATGCATGAACAATGTTGCTCACGTTTTGTGGGCTGAGTTCAGTGGTCCTTGCAGGCATTCTCCCGTACAGTAGGCTCTGTGCAAAGCAACCACCAGCCTTGATGCCAGCATGTCACCCAGGACGTGCATCCTGGCAATGTGCAACTATCACCCACCGCGACGGCCACCCAACAGGACAAATCATTGGATCCAACTTGCCAGGTCTACGTTTGGCTCTTCCTGACCTGACCATGCCAGAGGTGCAATGCAAGACTCACTTACACGCTCGAAGAGAGAACTCGGAGCAGGAAGCATAGCTATGCAACTAGCTTCACTGAGACTGAGCAAACTTCGCGCTTTCCTGAATCGCCGATGATTTTGCAGCAGTCTTGCTTTACACGAGCCCCCGTGAAGGACTTGAACGTCGCGCAGGTAAGCCTACCCTTCGCTTTAAAGGACCGGCTTGAAAACACCTGCTCCTTTCAGGATGCCTGCCTGCCGAAAGGGCCGCACGCCCTGGAAAAGAAAGGAGCTGAGAATGCGTATGATTCTGTGCGGACGTCTTGTAGACGTCCAACACGCTATACAACGACGGTTGCAGATGATGCGGCAGGCACCCACGCAACCAAGTATCCTCGAGGTGTGGAGAAGTACTCTTGCTCCTGAGACTCATGGAACGTCACAGGTGACTTGCGCTTTCAAACGGACCTTCCCAAGAATCTGCCTCTTTTGGCGCTAAGGCGCTGTAGAGTTCATGGCCTGAAACACTTCCTTCAAGGCAGCCCAGAATGGAGGGTACTTGTACCTGACCGAGGAATCTCGCGGTCTGCGCGCTGCTGCCTCTAAATGTCCCCAGCGCGCCTGGCGACATCCATGACAAGAACCCGATCCGACTGCTGGTCGTAGGCTCCGATAGGGCTGTGATGTCCAGCGCCTTGCGAAGCCCAACCGCAACTCTTCTTCCCCGGAAGCTTGCTTGCAAAATATTGCGAATGGCTGCACCCCGCCTATTTGACCGAGCACCTTCCGGTCGAAGTTCAGCCCTACAAACCTGTTTAGTCAACACGTTCTGTGGCTAGACACTATTCGACCCACAAAGTCTGCCAAGCTGCCTCAGCTGGCTGCTCGAGAATGCCTACAGAAATGGTCTTGCTTCTGAGCAGGTCTGATCCACTTTTCGTTTTCGTGGATGCATTCTTGCCTGGACAAGAGTCTGCCGGAACTGATCGAGATCGGACTTGGAAGCCTCCACCTTGCTTGAAAGGAATGGTTGCTGGGCCGTTCATAAGGCCATAAGGCATATGAACAGCTACAGTAAGATCCTCGCACTGGCTGCCTCCGCGCCGTGACAGCGCAGCATGCCAGCAATCTGCATTTTGCCAGCAATGGCTCAGGTATGCCTACATGTGGCAGCTTGTTGTGGCCTGCTCAAGCGAGCCCTGCCAAGGCGTCGTCGTCTCCTGTCATTGATGGGAGGCACATCATTCCCTACGGCGTGGTTTAGGCCCGGTCCTTGATGCACTTGGAGGCGGAGCCATTCCAAATATTCTGGCTGTCCCAGTATCGGTACACCTTCCCGCCATCACCATACACTTGGGCTCGTCTGTTGTTGTGGCCCTCTTGCCTCTGAGAATGTCTGGGAATGGTAGGAATACATCTCGGAGACCTGTACTGTCCCATATGAGCTATAGTCTCAACTCCTAGTATACCCCTTTAATAACCCCTATAATACTCCCAACATAATCCGCTATATAACCCTCTTCAATTAGTTTTGAGCCAAAACCCTAAACCCTAATCCCTAAACCCTATATAATCATCTATTTCCTACTCCCCTATATAAATTCCCTATATTACATAACCCTCTTAAAGGAGTTTAGACTTCAGCTCATATGTCTCATACTGGATGTGATCATTGCCAAGCCGGGCTTAGGCCGATACCGCAGCTGGCAGCCCTTGAGCAGCTAAAGCGTTCAGAATCATCGTGGCCTTGGCTGAGCATGCTTCTGTAATATACATCTATATATAAACGTAGTATGCAATGAAATATACAGTAGTATAATATACGAGATTAGATATATAGTATATAATAATATATATATGATATCATGTCACATATTTCTGGCTGAGCAATGCTGGCAACACTGATGCTGAGCTCTGGGCTGTGGTGGGACCACACATGCCAGGGAGCTCTGTCACGAAATGCGGGGACAATTGCCAGAAGGGCCTTGCCAAGAAAGGGTAGTTTGCCAAAAATTGGGGGTCCCATATAGACCCCAAAATAGTATAATCCTTATTATACGGACCCCCAAAAGGGTACCCCTAATTTCAAGAAACCCCCGAAGCAGCATCCCCCCTTCCTTCCCAACGGCATCTCCCATGCTGTCAGGTCAGGCTGAGATCGCAGCGCTGCGTGCGACGCATGCCTGTCTCGGTTGGAAACAACCACTTATGGGGTCCCTATAACAAGGAATATATAGGGGACTACTATAGGGGTTACTAAGGGGGATACTAGGAGTTTGGGGGCCCAATAGTCAGGATTACAGTACTTGGAAGTCTATATGGGGGTCCCGTATTTTAGGAAACTACCAACTTGCATCCGAAGCTTCAGTAAACTGATGCAATGGCGACTTACCCCCCTTGCGCAAGTAGCACACTTTCTGATTTGATTTCGAGATTAGGTATTCTCCACGAGATGTCGCGCCCAAAACTCTCCGATTCCGAGCTCTCAGCTCCTGCTGAAAGTGCACCTCTTTGGGATTGATACTCGTTGCGACTAGAAGCCTGGTACTAGAAGCCTGGCGTACTAGAAGCCTGCATGCCTGCGTGCAAACAACCATCGACAGAAAGGTCTGACAAAGACCAAAACTCTGCGGTATTTTCTGTCCAGCATGAACATGTTTTTTTAAGACTCGGATCCGCAGCTCCTCGCAATGAAGTAGAGTCGACTTCGAACCATTTGCCATGAAAAAGGTCCGTCCCTACCATGGTGGAGCACGGCCAGCGACCCGTGAAGGAATGACAACATGCCGACAACACCATGCTAACACAACAGCAAACAAATATCAAAAAAAGCCAGCGCGCCGCAACAAGGGGCAGCCTTAGTTTCGAGTGAACGGCTTTGCCCGCCACTGCAGGTATGGCAGTCGCAGCATAAAACCCAATTTGTAAATTCTGCACGGACCAAACCTGCATTGTCTGTGCCGAAAGTAATGCAGCGGTTGACCTTTCTGCCTTCTGCCAAAGACATTCCACTTCTTCCTTAAGCTTTTGCCTGTGGTTCTGCTCCCCGTGTGTTAACCATCTAGAGCCTCCGAAAATGTTCTCAGGGTACTTACTGTCTTCTGACATTTTTCCTCAGCCTCTGTTGAGCTTGCCTCTTCCATTAGCTGAACTTGTCGTTGCGGAGGCAACCCAGGAAGTGCAAGTCTTGCCTTCTCTTACCTTCTGCTGGTACAGTGCGATCTTTGCGCGAGCGATAAGATGCTGAGTCGCAAGTCTCGCCCTGTATCAGCATGACGCCTTTGAACCAACAGCTCTCAGGACTTCAGAACTTCCGCGAGTTCGCCCTAAATCACCACCATTTCCAGTTCCCTTAACACTTTCCGGGAGGGAATGCAACCACGGGGAAAAACCTTGAGAAGTCATTGCGCATCAAGACTGCTCAGACACCTTGGAATTGCTTTCAAATCTCTTGCTGCTCAACTTCGGTTTGCAGCAGTGGCTCCAAATTTCTTTTTCCATGATGCAGCTTCCAGCTAGCCGGACCCAGTGCTGTTGCTCTCTCCATTCCACTCTCTCTTGAAAGCATAAAAAGCCGAGTCATGGAAGCCGCCTCAGCAGATCAGAGCCCGCCGTCGTGTTAAGGAAGATAAGCTCCTCGCTTTCGTTGTTGTCTACAGTCACACACGACTTCGTCGGCAACTGCAAGGGACGGGGTGAGATGTCGGTCCTCAATTGGCTGGTTGCAAGTCCCTTCCATCACCTGAGAGTCAACACATGTCAATGATTCAGGACACCGGTCACCGTTGCTGTCCATCAAAGATGGAGGAAGGAGCAATAGTTAAGCAAACCGCACCGCCGCGGTAAGCTTCGGGCCAGCATCATTGCGAAGGCGAGTCGCGCCATGGCTGTCATTCTCTGTGCGCTGGCACCAGTCTGAATTGCCCGCTTGAGAAATGATGCAAGTCGATTGTTCCACATGCATCTGATGCTGACGGATAATGACAAGCTTCTTTTGATGGCATTGAGATGCATTGTTGCCAACTTAACGGCTTATGACTGATCAGCGCAGACAAGCCAGCACACAACAAAGTTTCACAGGTCATGGGCGCAACATGGCACAACACAACTGCAGGGGACTCCGGGGGGGTCTGAGGCAAATGCCAGGCACTTGGCAAAAGCATTCATCACGAGGCCTCAATGCGGTTCATATTGACTATTAGTGTGCAGGCACCAGTGTCTAAGCTTCAAGCCCCTGGCCCTAAACCCTAAGCCCTAAATAGTGCTTTCCATTTCATTTTCCATTATCCCAACATAAACCCCAATATATACCCTATTCTACTACAGTAGATCATACTGTAGTAGTTTCCAGGTTTCTTCTCCATTATCCCTATATAACCCCAATGTTTCCTTTTTGTTTTCCATAAACCTTTTCCCCTATGGCCCCTGGCTGATGTGATGCACCTGGAAGCTTCCTGGCTCCGTCTGTACCGCTGACCTGCAACATGCAACATGGAGTTTAGGTTTAGGGTTTATGGGTTTAGAATTCAGGGTTTAGGGTCCATGCTACGTGGCTCTCCTCTTCTTGCTCCTCTGGGCTACAGTTATGGAACTTAAATTAAGTTGCCATAATACGTGTACATAGCAAATGATACGGTCCTGGGTTGCTGTTAAGGAACTTAAAGTAAGTTACCATGACGGGTATACATATATAATAGTAAATTATGAGGTTTCTCCATTATAGTGACTAAACTTAGTAAATTATAGTGTTTTCCTATTTTAGTAACTTAATTTAGTAAACCCAAGCCCTTCTGCAGAAGGCGGATTCCAGCCTGGCCATTGCCTTGAACAACTCAGGGTTGCACTCCTTGGCTTACTGGGGGGTTAGTAGGTAATAAGGGAATACAATATATTATACAGCGATTATAGGCAGTAAGGGAACAACATATACATTATGTAGTGATTATGTGGATTATACACCCTTATTCCCTACTTACCCCCCCGTAAGTTGGCAATTCTTGGTTTCAGGATGCGCAGCAAAAGCGTGATACAGCGAGACAAGTTGCCTGAAGCCGTGCATAGGAGTTGAGGATGATCGCGCAGTTTGGCCCACCGACCTGGCAGAGCACATGCCCGCGCCCCGGCTGGATGTGGGTAGTTTTATTGTGAGCCAATGTCTAAAGGGTGCTAGATAGGGAACTATATAGGGGACTAGTATACGGGCTATGAGCTGGAATGTTAGGAGTTTAGACTATGGCTCCCATTTGACTGGCTGAGATGACCTCCATGTAGCAGTCCTGCAGCCTCTCGGCACAAGCCTGTTTACGGATTTGTCGGGCATGAGACAGATGGAGCTGGCTTGCGCTAATATCTGTGCCTCAAGGAGGTTGTTTCGTGGGGTGTGTGCTAGCTCGGCATATGCCTTCAGTCAGATTGTCGCTGCAACAGCTGCTGCTCGGCTTCGTGCTGAGGATGCCACAAACACAAGCCTTAGCTAAGTGACACTGCTCTGCGACAGATTGTGTGTTGGATGGGCTCAGTAGCTGACAAAAAGAGCTTAGCACATTGGCGAGCCAGGTGAACTGCTCCAAATGTGAGTTCCCCCGCTTTGACGGGCATTTGTGAAGCTACCTGGAGGTTGTTCCAAATTCCCTTCCCCGGATTTCGGAACTCTCGCCGCGCTTGAGAAAGCTTGCGCGCACGGACTCCTGCGAAATTCCTTTTCGTTGTAATGACGTTTCGTAGTGGCACTGCCAGGAAGCAATCCATATACATGCTCCAAGCAGCCAACCTCGAGCCCCAAACGGGCATCTGATGAGGAGGATCGGCACTGAGTCACAAATACTTGCATGCTGGGGCGCTGCTTGCGCGCAGCTCATGCCCACCAGGTGTGATGTGGAAGTCCTCTTGAGTTGTCCAGATATGGCACCAGCATTTCCACACTCATGTCTTGGCACTCTGGCGGTACATCAAGAAGACAAGGGTTTCAGAATAACACAGGGACCTGATGCCCTCCTGCTTTCCATCATTTCGGGTGACTGCTCAGGCTGCGACGATGCAATGTCAACATGTGACAGCTGATCTGCTCGTTCAGCTAGTTGACTTGCCACAGCCTTCGGCACAGGCATAGTCATGATTTATCCGCTGTCTGACTGCTGCATCGCGTCGTCCACAATTTCAGCCCGGTATCTAAGGCACTGAACAGTCTTCATCTCAGCTTCCAATTGCTTGGGCCGTGGCATCCATCAGCTGGCTGTTCCGGTAGCCCAATCGAGCAAAGCAATTCAAAATGTTGCCTGACGGCAGATATTTTTCTGAGGGCTTCCACAGAACATTTGGTAGTTTCCCGAAATTCGGGGTACCTTCTAGGGGTCCCAATAATAAGGACTATAGTATTTGGGGGTCTATATTGGGGTCCCCTTATTTTGGGAAACTACC